AGGATCACCCTTCTCAAAGGAACCCTTAAAGATGGACTCTATGCTTTCAAGATGACCAACCCAGAACTTCCTTCAACCTTCACTTCAGACTCTACCATCAAGAGCTTTTCCAGTTTACCTTCAAGTTTATGTTATGCTTCTGTTTTGAAAAACAAGACCAGCCTAAATGTTTGGCATGCTAGATTAGGTCACCCAACTTTTGACATTGTCAAGAAAGCTTTGAACAATTGTAATGTTGACTTTGATCCAAATATTCAGAATGGTTTATGTTCAGCTTGTCAACAATCTAAATCTCACAAGTTACCATTTACTGCATTTAATTCTCATTCTTATGAACCCTTTGATCTTGTTCATAGTGACTTATGGGGACCCTCACCCATTAAGTCTTTTAATGGTTTTTCTTATTATATAAGTTTCATTGATGATTCTACTAGATATGCATGGATATACTTACTCAAATTCAAATCAGTTGCCTTAGAAGCTTTTGTTCACTTCCATCAAATGATCAAAACTCAATTCAGTAAGAACATAAAAACACTTCAAACTGATGGTGGAGGTGAATATAAAGCTATGACTCAATATCTTGCTGAGAATGGTATCATACACCGTTTTTCTTGCCCCTACACCCCAGAACAAAATGGGTTGGCAGAAAGGAAGCATAGATCCATCACTGAAACTGGTTTAGCCTTGCTGTCTCATAGTGGTGTACCTCAAATTCATTGGGACTCAGCTTTCACCACTGCTGTGTATCTCATTAACAGAATCCCTTCAAAACCTATCAAATTTCAAATTCCTTTTCAAGCCATTTACAAGCAGCAACCAGAATACACACATTTAAGGACCTTTGGGTGCCTTTGTTATCCCTACTTAAGGCCATATAATAAGCACAAAATGCAATTCAAAAGTCAACCATCCACCTTTTTGGGATATAGTCCTCACCATAAGGGTTTCAAAGTTTTACTTCCTGACAGAAAAGTCATATACACTAGACACCTTACTTTTGATGAATCTGTTTTTCCCTTCCTCTCAAAACAAACATCTACATTCCCCACCACCCCACCACATATGCTTGTACCTTCTCCATTCCTTGCTGTGCATGATACTATATCATTTCATCCCACTCAACCACAAACTCCAAGTTCTGCACCTCACTCTTCCAACTCCCACAGGGATGACAACACCATCTTATCTTCTTCTCAGTCCCCCCCCACAGAGTCCTCAACCAAACTCTCCCACTTTATCCTTATCTTCATCTTCTTCTTATGCAGATAGTTCACCCAATAATTCTCCCCCATCAAACAACATCCCCTCACCCATTTCTTTAGATAGAGGTGGACATATTTACATTGATTTACCTATAGTGCCTGATAACCAATCTAATCATGCCACACAAGACTCTTCTCTTTCTCCCTCTCAGGTTACAAGTGGTCACCATATGAAGACAAGATCTAAATCAGGTATCTATAAGCCCAAAATCTATTCTTCTTCAGTCATCTTGGCAGAACCAAAGAACATTGCAGAGGCTTTGGCTACCACTGAATGGAGAACAACCATGCAGCTGGAGTTTGAGGCTCTAATCAAAAACAACACCTGGGAATTGTCTGCCCTTCCACCAGACAAAGATCTTATTGGCTGTAGATGGATCTTTAAAGCCAAAAGGAATGCAAATGGTAGCCTAGCAAAATACAAAGCTAGGCTAGTAGCAGAAGATTACACTCAATCTCTTGGATTTGACTATACAGAAACTTACAGCCCTGTGGTCAAGCCAACTACCATTAGATTGATCCTCAACATGGCACTCTCACAAGGCTGGGACATTAGACAACTAGATGTGGCAAATGCATTTTTGAATGGAGATTTAGACACTGCCTTGTATATGGAACAACCCCCTGGGTTTTGTACCTCAGGTTCTGAACATCTAGTTTGCAAATTGAAGAAATCAATTTATGGTTTGAAACAAGCATCTAGAGCTTGGACAAGCAAGTTCTCTTCTGTTTTGGGCCTTCTTCATTTCCAGTCCTCAAAAGCTGATAACTCCTTATATTACAGGCATACCAAAAATTCTACAATCCTCATTATAGCCTATGTTGATGATATAATGATCACTGGTAACAACACTCTTGAAATTCAAAAGGTCATTGCCACAATGCATACTCACTTCTCTCTCAAGGACTTAGGCCCAGTCAATTACTTCCTGGGAGTTGAGATTAACACAGTTGCAGATGGTTTCTTCCTCTCTCAAAGAAAATATTTAGAGGATCTTCTTACTCGAGCTGGTATGCCAAATGCAAAGGGGTTATCTACACCAATGATTACCAGTCCACCCTTGTCCAAGCATGATGGTGTTCCCTTTTCTGATCCAAAGTTGTACAGGAGTCTTGTAGGTGCTCTTCAATATGCCACCTTAACAAGACCTGAGATTAGCTTCAGTGTCAATCGAATTAGCCAATTTATGCAGTGTTCTTTAGATAAACATTGGAAAGCACTAAAGAGAATCCTCAGATATCTCTGAAACTCTGCATTATGGTCTTCTTTTCACACCCTCAGACATTCATACCATTACAGCATATGCAGATGCAGACTGGGCCTCTGATATTGATGATAGAAGAAGCACTTCTGGGTTTTGTGTTTTTCTAGGCAACAACCTTATATCTTGGAGCTCAAAGAAGCAACCTACAGAATCTCAGTCCAGCACTGGACCTGAATACCGCAACCTTGCCATAGCTATTTGTGAGCTTTCTTGGATTCAATCTTTATTACAGGAGCTTCATCATCCTCTTCAAAGACCTCCCACTATTTGGATGGACAACATGGGAGCCATATCTTATCTGGAAATCCAGTGAACCATGCTCGAACTAAGCATTTTGGAATCGACCTTCATTTTATACGAGAGAAAGTTGCTCAAAAATCTGTTCTTATTAACTATGTCCCTGCATTGGATCAAATTGCCGACATTGTTACAAAGCCTCTTTCACATCAATTCTTCGCTCGTCTTCGAAACATGTTACATGTCTTACCTCAGACCTCGCTCGAATTGCGGGGGGATAAAAGCCAAGTTACATGATGAGCTCGTGATTTATTTTAGTATTCTCTTTTTATATTTTTTGTCTTATTATTGATGTTTAGATGACTGCCATGTATAGGGTATAGATGATACCAATCCTTGTATATATTGCCTTACTTGAGATAGGGTTACTAATGATTATTCAATGAAATGAATTAATTGCGGCTGCTATGTCTCTCTTCGTTTTCTTCATGTTTCTTGGATCTGCTGCTCGTTTAGCTTACATTACGGTACAACATTGTACCGTAATACATGAAGTGGATGCTTGTACCATGAGCCGACACCCTCAACTCGAGCGCATGGAATTCGATAGAATCGTGTACAATTTTCCTCATGCTGGTTACACTTCACCTGAAAGCAGCTATTATCAAATATCGTAAGTTATAATCGTGTACATATGAAAGTTCATCGTGGTTTGAAAAATTTTGTTCTGCTAAAAAAATGAACAAAAGCAATAATACTATATGCCATATAAAATTACTATATAGTGCACTGATATAATGAAGGCTGCAGGTGGTTCGGGGTTTCTTTGAGAGTGCGTACGAAATGGTGAATGCGGAAATTCTTTTGTAGCGATTTCATTTCATTTGGCGGAAAACTATTGTTAATCAAATATAATAACAGAATTTCGAGAATTTTGTCAGAAATAATTATATTATGTATTTCTCACAAATGTTAATGCATTGAAGTATTTTTTTTTTTTTTTGGAACGACAGAGATTTTATACCAAATCACAAAAAGTACAAACAAAGATATAGCCCAAAGTTGAATAAAACAACTAAAAGGTGAAAAAAAATGGAAAGATAAATGCGAAGATCGCACAGAACTTAAACTAGCAACATTAAAAAAAAAAACATCCACAAAACTACAAGCCACAAAACAAAAGCTCAAAAAATGGAGAATCAACGATTCCAAAAAGATAACACACGCTCTTACCGGGAGAAACAAGATCCAAAACACCCTAAAACAATACACAACACTAAAACACAACTCAAAACACACCAAAACAACACACAAACACAAACACCTAGACACACTTAAACAAACAAAAGCCTAGACATCAACAGAGGCCCTTCCCGTAGCAAAGTAACCAATTAATTAAGCTCAGCATAAGGCACCAGCAGAGCTAACGACCGACCACCCCCATGTCAATGTAATGACAATAAAAAAATTAGAAAAAAATAAATACTACTCATTTAGCAATTCTACCGTTTACTTTTCCGCCACAACTTCAAATTTACAACGCCCAAATAAAGATTTCACATATTTTTTTTTTCTATATACAAATTCTTCAATTGCGTGACTTATCAAAATTATGTTTATGTTTTCTAATATTTAATTTATAAAATTAATTTTAATATTATCACGATATTCATTTTTATAAAATTATTTGTAAGATTTGATTCCCGCATCATAAACATAATGAAGATAATTTTAGTATTGCTATCTCGTGTATCGAATGGATGCGCAGTAGTTTCATGTCATGTGGCCCTTAGTTTGTGTAGAGATATATGTTTATGTTTATTTGTAAAGATTTCTAATTGCTTAATTAGAGGTCTTATTCATGGAGTTGTATCAATTATAGTATTTTTTATAGGCTAGTTTCTAGGAGATAATTTATTCTTATGTATCCTATTTATACATCCTTATGTACTGTTAGAATTAATATGAAGAAATGAGAAGTGAATTATTTCTTGTTCCAAACATCATGGTACCAGAGCCATACACGGTTCTCTAAAAGCCCCAAACCAATTCAATTTGGTTTTCTTTTTTTTTTTACTACAAAAAAAAAAGGGACAAACAAGATTCCACCTTCAGTCCATCCACATTCTTCCGCCATTTCAGTAAAAAAAAAAAAAAAGGGAAACCCAAATAAAATCATTCCCTCTTGTTCTGCTTCCATTTCTCAGACACAATTAAAATGGGGGAAACAAAAATGAATCCTGTTATCATTCAATCTGAAGGAGTTTTCAATATTGGTATTCTCCTCTCTGAGACCAATTATGATATTTGGTCCCAATTGATGGAAATGCACATTGCTGAAAGAGAAAAGCTCTCTTATATTCGAGGCAAGATGAAGATACCAGAAGCATCTGATGTGGGTTATGAGAAGTGGTATGCTGAAAATCAAAAAGTCAAGCGATGGCTCCTAATGTCTATGTCCCCAGATATTATGAAAAGGTACATTCGGATCCCTACTGCTCATGAAATATGGAGTGCTCTGTCTAAAACTTTTTATGATGGTGGTGATGAGATGCAAGTTTTTTCTTTAAACCAAAGAGCTTTCTCTGCTAAACAAAATGGGAGATCTCTTTCGGTGTATTATGGGGAATTGACAGAAATATTTCAAGACTTGGACCATCGTGATAAAGTAATTATGAAACATCCAGATGATATTACAGCATATCGAGGTTCAATTGAACGAATCCGCATTCACATATTTTTAGCTGGTCTGGACAAAGAATTTGATCAAATTCGAAGGGAAATTCTTTGCCTAGAACACAAATCTAGTCTTGAAGAGTGTTACTCTATAATTCGGCGTGAGGCTATGCGTCTGACTACATTTAACGAGGAGATTGAAAGAAACGAAGCTTCAGCGATGGTTAGTCGACACCGACCTATTCCCATAGCACAAGGTCAAGTGCAAGAACGGCCAAAGACAAACAACTCAAGAAAAAATAACCTTACTGATAGACCTAAATGCTCTCACTGTGACCAAATAGGGCATTCTAAGAATCGTTGCTTTGAGTTGATTGGATATCCAGATTGGTGGGATCCGAATCGACATCGGAATACCAAGAGACCTCTCATAGCTGCTGTTTCCCAAACTAAGGAAGAAGATAGCACACCGTCATCAGCAGCATTAGTCACGGCTCCAAACTCGACAGGTAAAATATTAAATACTTCAACGTTTATTTCGAATGATACTTGGATAATTGATTCGGGTGCCACTGATCATATGACGCATAATATTGACCAAGTATCAATTTTAAACCCATCTTCACAAAAATGTGTATCCACTGCAAATGGTGACATAACCCGAATTATAGGGGAAGGATCAACAAACCTGACAGATTCTTTACATCTTGAGTCTATTCTGGTTGTTCCCTCTTTGAAATATAATTTATTGTCAGTATCTCAAATAACTGACTCTCTGTCATGTATTGTTATTTTTTGGCCTAACCATTGTGTTTTTAAGGACATTCAAACTCGGAAAACGATTGGCTATGGTATTAAGAGAGAAGGATTGTACTACTTGGACATGGACTCAAGTGCTTCTAGAAAATTGAAAAAAACATTAGCAGTGGATGTTGTTCCCCCATCTAAACAATTCCCTGAGGTTTGGCTTTGTCATAAACGTTTAGGACATGCCTCATTTAGTTATTTAAAAAGATTGTTTCCATCTTTATTTAGAAATATTGATATCTCTTTGTTGAAATGTGATGTTTGTGAACTTGCAAAAAGTCACCGTACCTCATTTCCTTTGAGTTTGAATAAAAGTCCGCTGCCTTTTATGGTTATTCACTCTGATGTGTGGGGTCCTTCCAAAATCCCTACAATGGGAGGAGCTCGTTGGTTTGTCACTTTTATTGATGATTGTACTAGAATGACTTGGTTATGTCTGATGAAATCTAAGCCTGAGGTTAATTTATTGTTCCAAAAATTTCATAGAACTATCTGTACCCAATATAAAACTCAAATCCAAGTATTACGTAGAGATAATGGTAAAGAGTATCATTGTTCTGATTTACAAAATTTTCTAGAAAATAATGGGTGTGTGCATCAAAGTAGTTGTCCGAATACTCCTCAACAAAATGGTGTAGCCGAACGAAAAAATCGCCATTTGTTAGAAGTTGTTCGAGCACTATTAATTGAAGCCCACATGCCACTATGCTACTGGGGAGAAGCTCTCCTTGCTGCCACGTACATTATAAACTGTGTCCCATCTCGAACTATAAACTTTCAAACACCTTTCCAAGCTCTTACAGAAACTATTGTTGCTCCTCCTGTCCCAAATTTACAACCACGAATCTTTGGATGTGTGGCCTACGTTCACATTCATAAACATCAACGAAGCAAATTAATGCCCCGTTCATTGAAATGTGTCTTTGTGGGATATGCTTCTCATGCAAAAGGATACAGATGTTATCATCCTCCTACTCGACGCATGTTTATAACTGTTGATGTAGCATTTCATGAAAATACAATGTATTTCTCCGAGTCTAACTTGCAGGGGGGTGGCCTTGAAAATATTCAAACACTTCTTTATGATTTTGAGGAGGATATAGTACAGGTATGTAATGATAATGCGGGGCATTTTAATTTGGATAATCAAACTGTGGAAGAAACGCAAGAAGGATCAGAAAAAATTTGCAATTTGGAGCACGAACATCTGAACTCAACGTCATTGTATGACCATACAGAAAGAGCAGAAGAAAAAGCTCCAGAGTCTCCACCAATCAATTTACCAAATGAAGAAGAGTCGTCTGCATCGCCAGAACCATATAGAAAACATCTACCTCTACGTCTCACTAGAGGTATTCCAAAAGCTACATATGAACCTGAATTGTCCAGCAAAGTAAGATATCCAATGAACCATTATATTTCTTTGCATCGGCTATCAAACGCAAATAAATCTTTTGTGAAGCAGTTATCTGCTATATCTATACCTAACAATGTCCATGAAGCTTTAGCTGATCCGAGATGGAAAGCCGCAATGAATGACGAGCTAGCCTCCTTAAAAAAAAACAAAACATGGGACTTGGTGGACAGACCCGTCGGAAAAAAGACGGTTGGGTGTCGATGGATATATACAATAAAATACAAAGCCGATGGCTCTATCGAACGCTTCAAAGCTAGATTGGTGGCAAGAGGATACACCCAAACTTATGGTGTCGACTATACTGATACATTTGCTCCTGTGGCGAAAATTAATACTGTTCGTGTCTTACTATCTTTAGCTGCAAATTTTGACTGGCCATTACAACAATTCGACGTAAAAAATGCCTTTTTACATGGAGAATTGGCGGAAGAAGTCTATATGGATCTCCCCCCAGGATGTCTGTTGTCAAACGATGAACGTCAAAAGGTATGCAGACTAAAGAAATCATTGTATGGATTAAAACAATCTCCAAGAGCTTGGTTTGGGCGATTCACAAAATTCATGGTATATTTTGGCTACAAGCAGAGCAATTCAGACCACACACTTTTTTTGAAAAAGGGGCAGGAAGGGAAAATCACGGCACTTATTGTATACGTGGATGATATGATCGTCACAGGAAATGATCAAGAATAAATGAAGGCCTTACAGGTACACTTGTTTAAGGAATTTGAAATGAAGGACTTAGGTCCTCTGAAATATTTTTTGGGAATCGAAGTGTCTCGATCAAACAAAGGAATTTTTATATCTCAAAGAAAATATGCTTTAGATTTATTACAAGAGACTGGAATGTTAGCATGTCAACCAGCAAACACTCCTCTAGAAGAGGGCTTAAAGTTGTGCAATGGGGCAAACCAAGTACCAGTAGATAGGGGGAGATATCAAAGGCTGGTCGGAAAATTAATGTATCTAGCTCATACGAGACCGGACCTTGCTTATGCATTGAGTGTTGTAAGTCAATATATGCATGACCCAAAAGAACAACATATGAATGCAGTTATGAGAATTTTGAGGTATTTGAAATTCTCTCCAGGAAAAGGGGTGTTGTTCTCTAATAATCCAAGACAGGTACACATAGATGTGTATACTGATGCTGACTGGGCAGGAGCCCTTGATGATAGACGATCAACTTCAGGGTACTTCACATTTGTAGGTGGAAATCTTGTCACGTGGAGAAGTAAAAAACAAAATGTTGTTTCGCGATCAAGTGCAGAGGCTGAATATAGAGGAATGGCCTTAGGAATTTGTGAAGCACTGTGGTTGAAACTACTATTACAGGATCTTGGCTACTCCACAACAGAACCAATTCAATTATATTGTGACAATAAAGCAGCTCGTGATATCGCTCACAACCCAGTACAACATGATCGTACAAAGCACGTTGAGATAGACAGGTTCTTTATCAAAGAGAAATTGGATGAAAAAGCTATAGTACTTCCGAAAATTCGATCAGAAGATCAATTAGCAGATATCCTTACTAAAGCTGTGCCTCATCGAATATTTTCAAAGTTTTTAGGCAACTTGGGCATGATAGACATCTATGCACCAAGTTGAGGGGGAGTGTAGAGATATATGTTTATGTTTATTTGTAAAGATTTCTAATTGCTTAATTAGAGGTCTTATTCATGGAGTTGTATCAATTATAGTATTTTTTATAGGCTAGTTTCTAGGAGATAATTTATTCTTATGTATCCTATTTATACATCCTTATGTACTGTTAGAATTAATATGAAGAAATGAGAAGTGAATTATTTCTTGTTCCAAACATCAGTTTGGTTAAATTTCATTTTTATTACACTAAATTGACCATTTCTGAAAATGGTCCATATCATACGGGGTGTCTTTAAAAATAGTCCATTAAGTTGTCATTTTAATCAACACTCGTACAAAAGCCAACACAGTGTACTAAATATGACAACGGAGAATGATCACTTTTAGTACATTATGTTGGTTATTGTACGAATTTTGATTAAATTGGCAACTTAGTAGACCATTCTTGATGACGCCCTAAATAATAGATATTTTTCGTAAAATGACCAACATAGTAGACTATTTTTAAAAATTTGCCCCCTTAGTTTCAACAATTGTCTACAATAAATTGAAGCATAAATGGTATGCTTGTGCAAAATTCACATATGAATAAGTTGATATGAAATGATATAGATAATAAAGTAACGTAATAATTACCTAAAATACATTAACTAGATCAATCTTGGGAAGGCAATACTATGAAGAAGCCCAGTAACTGAGCATAATGGATTAGGTACATAACATTCATATATATATATATATATATATATATATATATGGTCCCCAATCCTAATCAATTATATATCCAATGATGATAGTAAAATTTTAATTAATATAAATAAATGAAAAACTCTTCACATTCTTCCACTCAAGAGTCTCATAGTACTGATATATATACGCACACACTGATGAGGCAATCATAGATTGAATGAACAATGTACATTTAAACTTGGATTAATTTGGTCATTTAGACCTCAGAAAATCAAAAGCTGAGATCATTGATCACTGCATAGTCCCAAATGGAAGAAAAAAAATGGATTAAGCACTATTGCAGTCGTCACAAGATATTGCTCGTCGGCGAAGGAGATTTCTCTTTTGCCGCTTCATTAGCCTCCGCATTCGGCAATGCTTCTAATATGACTGCAACGTCTCTCGACTCCGAGGGTATGCACGTAAATGCACCAATTAGCTCGCATTTAATCTATATTTATATGAAGTTGGTAATTAGATTCATAAATAAATTTCCTTTTTTTCTATATATACATAATACTCATCAAATTATTGATCAGAGGTGTTGGGGAGAAAGCATCGTACTGCAGCAGCAAACCTGGATTTACTTAAAAACAAGGGTTGTACCGTAATTCATGAAGTGAATGCTTGTACCATGAGCCGGCACCCTCAACTCAAGAACATGGAATTCGATAGAATTGTGTTCAATTTTCCCCATGCTGGCTACACCGAGTCTGAATACACTGCTTATCAAATATCGTAAGTTTCAATCGCGTATATATAGAAGTTCATTGTGGTTTTGAATTTATATTAAGCTGGTAACAAAAATGAACAACAGCAATAATAGTATATACTGCTTTAATTGAAGTTTGAAATCACTATGATATATAATGAGCCATATATATGATGAAGGCTGCACAAGAAGGTGGTTCGGGGTTTCTTTAAGAGTGCGTGCAAAATGGTGAGCGCCGAAGGTGAGGTTCACGTGACGCACAAAACCACTTACCCATTCTCAGAGTGGGAGATAGAAAAATTAGCAGAAGGAGCAGAACTCGAATTAGTGGAAGAGGTGGAGTTTTACATCTCCGAATACCCTGGCTACAAGAACAAGAGAGGAGATGGAAACCGGAGCAACTCTAGTTTCCCTGTAGGAGAATGTTCGACTTTCAAGTTCGCCAAGTACTATTGAGTTAAACATTAATATTGATCAGTATTTGACGTACCTTATTTATACATCTTGCATTATTATATAAACTAAACCTGACATTGCGAAATCCTTCGTGTTGTTATGGATGCAAATGTGAAATTTATCGTTGCTATCATAATTATTTGCCAGTTGAGTTGAACCCTATACATTCACAGAAATGTTATGGAGCTATCGAATGGTTCTCTTATGGAGTCATTCATATTTTTATGTATTGACACGTGTCCAATGTGTATTTATTGCAGGACACCTGTCAATACACTATTTGTGGATAACTATGAATGACTACATATAGCGAAACCGATTTGTACATTCCTATATACCTTTTTGTTAATTAACTAGTAAAGTGTATTTATTTGGTCAATTAAATTTTTAGTGTGAAAAAATGTGTGAAAAAATGACAATGAGTAAATGTAAATATGTCATTTTCGTTAATTAAATAGTAAAGTGTATTTATTTGGTCAATGAACTTTTTAGTGTGAAAAAAATGTGTGAAAAAATGACAATGAGTAAATGTAAATATTGCAAGAATGAAATAAAACCAAAAAATAAATTGATGAGTTCCTACGACATATTATCATAAAATAGCATAATGATGTCCTAACACAAGGAGCGAGAAATGTTTTTTTTTTTAGGCCCTAAGTGCGGTACAAATCACATTTTTGATATACATCAAGTCACACAAAAAACAAAAACAAAAACAAGAAAATAAATAGATAAAAGCTGGCAACAACAGCCAGGTAACACAAGGATCACAGCTCCTGGTCTAGAAGAGTCCAGGTGAGAAGTCAGCATCACAAGAGAGCATCAGCACTAAAGGTAGGATCGACTACACAAATCTGAATGAGTGGTATCCCATCTGGTCCATCCGTATAAGCGTGCGAAGGTGGAGCGGAATATCGTCTAGATAAAGTATGCACCTCTAGGGGTGGAGGACTCGATGTCAGCAAGGAAGTCAGCAGGTCGATTCCCCTCGCGGAAGATGTGCGAGATCCGAAAGCGGATCAACCGAAGTGTGGCTCTAATACGCATGAGAGGATGTTGAATCTGCCACGTGCCCTGATGGCCATATGTCAAGAGAGTGATGACAGTGGCAACGTCCAACTCTATCCAAATGTGAGAGGAGATCGAGGAAAAAATCTGAAGACCAAACTGAAGCGCCTGAACCTCCGTGTCATAGCTCGAGGAGGCCCAAAGAAGGGCATGGAAAGCGGTAATAATAGCACCGCTATGGTCCTTAATCGGACCCCCACCTCCGGCGGCTCCGGTGAGTCGGTCAAAGGATCCGTCAGTGTTTAGCTTAACCCAAGGAGGCTCGGGTCTCAACCAAACAACAGTTCTGGGGGCATGGATGCTGGACATGCGGCAGAGTGAGTGGTGTGCAGCCTGTCCAGTATCTCGGCGTGAGTCTGCCCAGAGCGTTGAGGAGAACGATAGATGTATGTTAACCTGCAAAATAATATAGGAACACAAAATGATAATATTCCTATGCTTTGCATTATTCCTTTCTGCCCAGGTGGACCAAAGGATCAGACAAGGAATAAGAAAGCTCACGTGCCTATCGTGTGTGCTCTGTGTGAAAAAAACTCTGAAACTCAAAGAAGTTATCGGTAGTGGGTAGGGGTATATGTGTATAACTAGAATAATGCTCCCATACTCTTCTCACAGTCTCGCTCTCGAGAAACAAATGGCTAAAGGTCTCAGTCTGAAAAACACCGGTCTCAGCACAACTATAGCAGCGTGAGGGGAAAGAGAACCCCCTCGTCTGCATCATAGTATCCATCGGTAGGCGGAGCAGAAGAAGGCGCCAAAGAAAAATAGAGATGGTCAGAGTAAGTAGGTCGGTCCAGATGGCTCCAAAGAGAAGGTTAGGCCGGTTACCCAGTCGTACTTCTTTCCAAGGCGAGGTCGTCGAGAATGCACCCGAAGATGTAAGTCTCCACCTCATATCGTCCAAACCATCCTCCGAGATGGGTATCTGTTGGATCTGGTCTATCACATGGTCACTAAAGCCTGCTCCAGTACCCAGAATCCTCTCTAACCTATCCTTATCTCATCCCTCATTCGTCCATAGGTCCTTCACCTGCAGAAAGGAAAGGTGGGTGACATGTCTAGAACTCGAAAGGGAACCCTCACCAAACCACCACTCATCCCAAAACTAATGTCCCCCCTTACATAAAGTCCAAAAAATGTGCTTCTGAGCACGTTTACCAACCGTGGTGAGTCGTCTCCACTGTCTGCAATCGCGGCTGGTGGTCGTCACCCTACAGGGGCGGGCAGCGCCTCCAGAGAACTGAGCCCAAAGTATTTACCCTCCGTGAAGCACCACCACATCTTATAAGAGAATGTAGTGACGACATCCGAAAAGCGTCGAATGCCAAGGCCTCCATCAGAGAAGGCGCGACAAATGGAGTCCCATTTCTCCCAGTGGACTTGTCTCCCTCTCCGGGAGCCCTCCCGATGCCCATAAAAATATCGAGCCAATATCTGATCTAGCTCATGAATCGTAGATTGGTGGGGGTCGAGGACCGTAAGAATGTGAAGCGGAAGGGCACTGAGGGTGCTTTTGATAAGAGCAAACATCCCTCCAAAAGATAGGTGTCTATGAGACCAACGGAGATTCGGTCAATCATCCTCTACGTGACGTCTATAAAGAGATCAAGAGACTCCAAAATATGTGATGGGGAGGTCTCCAAGCGCAAAATCAGTGAACTTGTGAACGCAATGGGCACACTGGTCCGTAATGTGATGATCAAAGGTGAGAGTACTCTTTTGCACACAGATAAGCTGACCAGAAACTGAGCTATAGTGCCCCAGGAGGCGTATGAGCTCGACCAGTCCATTATTATCTGCACGAGCGAAGATAATAATGTCATCCGCATTAGAAAAGTGCGAGATGGGGAGACCATATCCACGTATGCTATATGTCATCCTCGGGAAATTGCGAATAAAGTCGTCAAGGCAACGAGACAAGTAGTCCGCTGCCATGACAAAAAGGGAGAGGGATAAGGGATCCTCTTTGCCGAAGACCATGGGTGGAAGAGAAGAAGTCAGTGGGGCTACCGTTAACAAGAACAGAGAACGTGAAGTGCTTCACGCACGCCTCCATAAAAATAATACAACGCTCAGGGAAGCCCATCCGAAACATAACCTCCTTGAGAAACGGCTACTCGACCCTATCATATGTCATAACCATATCTAGCTTCATCATAAGGTTCAGGGCTCGTAATCGATTCGCGTTGGAGATGTAATGGATCATCTCTTAGGCCAGAAGGATGTTATCATTGATGACTCGATCCTTGATAAAACCACTTTGGTTCGGAGAGACGAGAGAAGGGAGGAGAGGGGCTAGGCGACCGTTGAGGATCTTGAATATGAGTTTGTTGGTCATAATACAAAGACTAATAGGTCTATAGTCGGTCCAGGGACTTCGCGACCGTTGAGGATGTTGACGATCATTTTACATGAAGTAATGAATACATGAACAAAAATGGTAATAATGGTCTGTAGCTGATTATATATGATATAACATCCAAAATAGTTAGGTGGACTCTGAGCGGTTAGCTCGGGTATGATTGGTCCAAGCGAATTTTAACTTGCTTACGATAATTTATAGATATATGGTATTAGTTTAATACATGTAAAGGTTTAGGAAGTATCAATTATGTGGAATCAAACTCTCTGGTAAATTAATAAATCTTCAAAAGTTATGGGCCCCGTTTGGAAGATAGCGGATTGAAGATAAATTAGCGGATTGGACTCAATTGAGAGGTTTGACCCGTCAAATCCGCTATTAAGCTTGTTTGGTAAATAACTTATTTGATAAGCTTTTTCGGCCCAAAACTCTAATTTAGAAAAAGCTCATTAGAGGAGCTTTTTGGGATAGAGGATTCACAATCTACTATTTTAATTTGAAACTTTCTAATTTGTATTATTTATTTTACAATTTACATTGGCTTATGGTGCTAATAAATAATAATATGTCATCTATATGATTAATTTATCTAGAAAAATGTAAAATTTATAACTTCTTAATCAAGTGTTAGTAAATAAAAAAAAAATATAATATATTTATAAATTACCAACTAAAGAATATTAAATGTTTTAATATATTATTGTTAGGATCAACAATTCAAAACTCAGTTCTCCATCAAGCCCAACATACAAGCCCAAATGGGGTTCCACTCTAAAACCAATTGGCAATAGAGGGAGTAGCCCACTAAGCTTATATATTGGACTTGAAACCTTTAATTTTTCGATGTGGGATTGGGTTTGCACACTTAACAAACCTCCCCTCAAACACAAGACCACATTGGACCTCCCCTTAAACGAAATTCATACGATCCGACCATCTTGTACCGCCGTTATCATCCACGGAACCCGCCGCCTGACCACACCCTTTTTGCCAGGAAGACTTTCCACACAAGGCACACGGATATACCGGCCCTTCCGGCTCCACGGGGAACATGCCACGTCATCCACATCGTAACTGGGCTACCAACTGTGGCTCTGATACCAATTGTTAGGATCAACAATTCAAAACTCAGTTCTCCATCAAGCCCAACATACAAGCCCAAATGGAGTTCCACTCTAAAACCAATTGGCAATAGAGGGAGTAGCCCACTAAGCTTATATATTGGACTTGAAACCTTTAATTTTTCGATGTGGGATTGGGTTTGCACACCCAACAATTATTATTAAAAGAATACACCCTAAATAATAAAAATGTCCTTATTGGTAATTTGCAATGTCAAACAGCTATAAGCTTTCAGCTATTTACCAAACACTTATTTAAAAACCGCTAATGCAATTCGCTGGTCAAATCAGCTAATATAATCTGCTATCCGCTATCCGCTATCCGCTAATACAATCCGCTATCCGCTATCCGCTATCCGCTATCCGTTGATCGCCAAACAAGACCATGATATAGTATTAGTTTAATACCTATAAAATGTAGGAAACATTTATAGGAGGTATTCAAGTGA